GGCTACCATTTAGATGCTTGCTCAGTTTGTGTTTAGGGTTCAGGGTTTAGGGTTAAGGGTTCAGTTTGGGTTTAGGGTTCAGGGTTTAGGGTTTAGGGTTCAGTTTGGGTTTAGGGTTCAGGGTTTAGGGTTCAGGGTTTGGGGTTTAGGGTTCAGTTAGGGTTTAGGGTTCAGGGTTTAGGGTTTAGGGTTCAGTTTGGGTTTAGGGTTCAGGGTTCATTGTTTAGGGTTCAGTTTGGGTTTAGGGTTCAGGGTTTAGGGTTCAGTTTGGGTTTAGGGTTCGGGGTTTAGGGTTTAGGGTTCAGTTTGGGTTTAGGGTTCAGGGTTTAGGGTTTAGGGTTCAGTTTGGGTTTCGGGTTCAGAGTTCAGGGTTTAGGGTTCAGTTTGGGTTTAGGGTTCAGGGTTTAGGGTTTAGGGTTCAGTGTGGGTTTAGGGTTCAGGGTTTAGGGTTTAGGGTTCAGTTTGGGTTTGGGGTTCAGGGTTCAGGGTTCAGTTTGGGTTTAGGGTTTAGGGTTTAGGGTTCAGTTTGGGTTTAGGGTTCAGGGTTCAGGGTTTAGGGTTCAGTTTGGGTTTAGGGTTTAGGGTTCAGGGTTTAGGGTCTCTGGGTTGGTCCCTGAGGGTTGTACCACATATGAGGTTTAGGTTTAGGGGTTTAGGGTTGGGAGTTTCCCCCAATTAGGGGTACTTTTTGGGGGGTCCCCATAATAAGGATTATGGATATTGGAATCCATACTGTGGTACCCTATGCTGGAAATTTTACCATATCAGTTCTGGCACGATCTCGTTATTATTGATGGTACTGGGACGTGGTGGTTGCCTGTAAGGAAAGCCCCCCAGAATGAAAGTCATTGCAAGATGGCAACGTATGGGAGGAATGATGGTGAGAGATTCCGCTGCTGGGTGCCTACAAGAGTAACAACTTCAATGGGTCTGCTACAAAATGATCATAATCTCAATCGCAAGCCTACGGCGTAATCAGCATGATCTCAAACCGAAGATAACAATCTCTTTCGAGGAGGAGGAGGCAGGAAGAACATGCAGCACAATACTAGAAAGGTTTCATAATGTTGAAAAGGAAGGCCCCACCAACATTTATGTTGAAATCTTGCAGCTGCCGCCGCGCGTCTGTTTACTCTGATTTGTGCGAAAATTCAAGGGGTCACAAGATGTTACCAAGCTCGAAATCACGCAAGGTGCAGGCACTTTTCATGCGTGAATCATAAATTTCATGCGTCGCGCTTTTGTTTCTTGATCGTGCCCTTTATATCTCTGCTGCGCTCATCATGTGTCTTCTGCCGAGTGCTTGGCAACACCAACAAACCCTTGTCCTGTTGTCTGCAAGGCTGCTTCGGAAAGAAGATGCGGATGATGAAAAGCTGTGATAGCAGCACTCTGAAGAAAATATGTCCAGGAAGAAAAGACTGTGGACAACCATGATACCACGTATGCGACTTCAACCCGTAATTGTCATAAGTTACGCGTGCTTGTATGTCCATCCGAAGTATACAGTCAGTGCTGAGCTAGCTAGGCAATGTACAGTCACAGTCGGCAAAAAACTTGCCTTTTCATATAGCTACATAACACCAAGATGCTAACTTGATCTGGGAAGGACGTGTGCTTTTGTAGTGGCATGTTTTGTTGCAGCCGCTTTGTTAGCAAGATCTGTGCTTTCGTCGGCTCTGATCGGAAACAAAATTACACGGGGTAGGATGTCAAAACTTGTTTGGGGAACCCCAAATTTGAATATGAGGGCCGTATTATACTAAGACCCCAAATCGGACAGTAGTTTTGGACAACCTACCGTATGAGCCATCTTTGAAAGATTAAGGGCTTTGCCACTGGGCTTGATTCAGCTATCGAGAAGAAAAAAGGTAGGGTTTCAGGTTTCAGGTGCAAACCACGTGGAACACTCACATTCCGGAAAGCATCAACTCTTGCGCCCGAATTTCGAGAAACATCCAGCATCAGCCATGTAACGTTGAACCATAAGCCCTAGAGTAAAGGGACCTCACTGGGAACCCCAAATAGGGAACCCCAAGAATATAGCAGGAATATATTAGGAAAGTACCTACCAGGGTCCTTGTATTCTATTATATTCCTGCTATATTCTTGGGGTTCCCTATTTGGGGTTCCCAGTAGAGTCCCTTTATGAACCTACAGTCACAGCGCTTGAGGCACGGACCTTCCTTGGCCTTGTAGAACTTTAGGAGACCCTCCCAGTAGGCCCACTGCCTTGTCGAATGGTACTATAATCTACTATAATCTACTACGGTTTAGGGTTTAGGGCTTAGGGCTTAGGTACTAGAATCTACTACAATCTACTATAAACTACGACAACATACAATAATATGATATATATATATATGTATAATCTACTACAATAGACTACAATCTACTACAATATACTATTCTGTTATACTATACTACCAAGAGTTCAGGGTTGGCGTAAAGCCCATCTGAATCGTTGAGTTAAATGTGCCTCCTGCTGCTTTTGGTACTGGAAAACAGTAAGGACATTCAAGCACAATTCTTACAAGGACCTCATGAGGAACGAGCTCTCCACGGAGAAGCACGCCCTCTCTTCCACCTATGTTACACGTTCCTCAAGAGCACAAAGAACATCGATACAGACTAGCATTGGGGTGCGGACGTTTTTATATGAACTATAGTCTAAACTCCTGAAAGTATTGTAGGGGTTATTAGGGGGACACTAGGAGTTTAGAGTATAGCTCATATGCTCCCAAACCCTCAAGAGCTCAGATGGGCGTGTCATGCTGTCTTATGAGCGTCAAAGAAACCCTGGCTGGCGGTGGCTTTCGCTTGCATGGCAGCTCATGAGCCCAAACTCATGCAGTTTAAGCGCTACCTGGCTGAGAAATAAGGATAAAGTGATGTGATCCATGGCATCATTCATGATTTTCAAACCATAGGCCGATGAACAGGCTGCAAACGGAGTGCAAACTGCAGAACCCGGAACCCCAGATCCATGATCCGCATACAACCCCAAGAGCATCCTCATGTAACCTCAACCACTGGTCCCCAACTCATCCCCCTCTCAGAAGCCGCTGCTGGCTCCCTTGGGGCGCCCCTTGATCACCATGCTACAAACACCACACAAACTCGGTTGCTGCAAAGGAACTAGAAGACAGCATGTAAACTTGAACATAAATCACTACATTGTCTGCAAGTTTTCTTAAGTCACGTAATGACTGGGATGCCTTGCACATGAGTGATATGGTGCACCACGCAATATACCTGGGACGCTAGGAATCACGGTATATGAACCATAGTCTTAACTCTAGTATCCCTCTTAATAACCCTACAATGCTCCCCTAATTCTATAATCCCCTTTCTAACCTCCCTTTAAGGAGTTCAACCTTCTATAATCCCCTATATAACCCACTTTAAGGAGTTTAGGTCATATAGATGCAAGATTAGGAAACCTCCCTGCAGCCAAGCACACCGCAAACAGGCATCCTAGAAGAGACTGGATGCCGGTATTTGTATCAAAAAGAGGGCTTAAACCAACAACTCTTTAGGGTGCAGGGTTCAGGGGTTTAGGGTTTAGAGGGTTTGGGGCCTAGGGTTGGTTCAACTTTGACAATTACCACCAGAAGGACAAACTGTGCAGGAAGGAACCCACATGGTTTGCAGGAAGGCTGAGAATTCACACGTGGCCTCCATCCAACTACTGCCCTGCTGGAAGGAACCCTGGGATTAGTTATGCCACTCGTTCTCGCTGGCGAATCCAGGTACAATGTGTCTGTGTATTTGTACAAGTACACATACTCTATAAGCAGACACCTGTGTAACTTCAAGGACCCGTTTGGCATCTTATCCCCGAGTAAGACTTGGACGTATCCGTGTCCACGTTCATCTTCACAACTCCAGCATTCAATGCCTTGGGTCCGGGGGTTTGCAGGGCTTGCGGGGTACTTGCATCACGACCCTAAACCCTAACCCAAACAAAAATCGAGGCTGCCTTCTACGGGGGCGCACGCATCACAGGCATTCCGTCAAATTCCGACTCTGGATGGAGGTTTTGCGTATACCCAGTCAAGAGACTCTGAGTTTGTCAGGGTATCCAGCTGACTGGCAACGGAAATATGCTCCAGGGTGATATGGTTGCGCTGCTTTTCAAAGTATCCGTGAGGCGCCCTGCGCAACCAGAATAATAACAATAAGAATAATAGTAATAAGTGGTAATGGCAATATTTGAAATAACATGCGGCGAATACTAATAAAGCAATGAATAATGGATATAATCATGCAGTAGCAGCACAGAAGAAGTTTGGTTGCTGTAGAGGAAATCAAGCAAGATCCTGTGAGAAAACCCGATTATTACTCCATATCCGTTTAGGCTTAAAGGTTTAGGGTTTAATGGTGGGATAACTTCGCTGAAGTTCAGTAACTCCCTGAAAAGACAATGTATAGCATGGGGGCTCAATACTAGCTTCCCTTTTCTTTCCATTCGACTCCAGATTGTGGTCCTAAGCCCTACACCTATAGCCCCCACATGATCTACATAACCCTAAACCCTAAACCCATAGCCTTAAGTTCCTTCTCTGCAACTTCACCTTAAACCCTAAGCCCTAAAATTAACTAACACGAATTCCCAAGCAGATGAGGCCAAGTGCCGTAGTGATGTGGTGCTTCTCAGACCCCGAGCCGCCGTGGAAAACAAAGTTCAAGGGCCTGAGACTCGTGGATTCTGAGTTGGGTTTGAGGACAATAGGTGTTGGGTTTAGGGTTGAGGGTTTAGGGTTCAGGGTCAACGGGTGTTGTTTTTCTGTTTTTAATCGGACCTTTTCTCCACTATCCAGGCATCCAGGCAGTAGGGTGTTGGGCTGAGGGTTTAGGGTTTGGAGTATACCGTGACAAATCCCATGGAAAGGAACATGGAAATCATGAAATGGAAGTTGGGGTTATGTAGGGAGCTACGGAACTGAAATGAGTAGCGTTTCTTTGGTGGTTAAACCCAGTAAGATTACATTCCCTATATAAAAATTCTATACCCCAAAAGGAGATAGAATCTTACTCTATAATTATTGGGTACCATAGTATCCCCAAACAAAAAACTACTCAAACGAAGTTGCCATAATGTGTTACTATAACATGGAGACATGGTATCGCAGCAGCTTATAAGAACGGCAAGCCAGCTTGATCTCTGGTGTTATAGCAAGATGCCACAATTTCAAAGGCATAAGGTTCCATGAGCTGAAGTCTGAAGTACCCCACTTAATAACCCCCATAACACTCCCCTAAATAACCCACGATGAGGAGTTTAGACTATAGCCCATATAACTAAAGCCAATCCGCACCTTCAGGCTCTCCAGAAAAAATCGTTCGTAGGGGGTTGTTAAGTATGAAATTCCTTGTTGGGTGCCCTCAATATTATGGCCCGTACTCAAATAGGGACAACAAATTTGACCTATCGTATGCAAGGCCTCTGCATGTGCTCGGGCTTTCGAAGCCAGGTATTTTAATGACCTCCTACCAACCCCAGACAGCAGATTTAGGTAGGTATATTACGAGACGCTAGAGCAATCCACAATGGCAACTGTAAAAAGTATGGGCCGGTCATGACTTAAGTGCCCCCCAAGACCCTAAACCCCTCACCCTGTAGGTCAGCTAAGCTCGCTACCGCTCGATGTCCTGACCAGTTGTGGCCTTGATCTGCTCGCGTGCGTAGACCTGCATGTCCTGCACTGATGGGTTGATTGACTGACAAGGTTCGTAACCCTTATCATACTGTACTAGCATAATTTGCAAAAGCTTGGAAACATGCAGGACCTTGCCAATCAACATCTATACGCAGGCCTCATAAGCTAGGGTCTGCCCAGTAGTGTCCATTCGGAGTGGAGACCTTCATGTGACCCCCTTCACAATGTCGGGCACAAGGCACACGGAGTAGCCGTGATATTCAGAACCGAAGCCCTCCGGCCATCCCCTCTTTAACCCTAAACCCTCTCAATCTTATGCAGGTGCATTCCGAAGCCTTGAGCAGCTCTTGAATCCAAAGCTCTAAACTCACACCGCAAACCTGCGACCCGACTAACCCCTAGCAAGCTGTAGAAGACCCCATAATGGAGAATTTCCGTATGAAACCTTTCAATCCTCCAGACACATTCCGTGCTCCAAGAACTTCCCCACATCTCAGGCCCAAACCCCTATTATAATCCTGTATATCTATAATAGTTTCCATTTTCTTTTCCATAATCCCAATATATCCGCAATATAACCCCTATAAAATGCACCCCCCCCCCCCTTTCCCTGGGGAAACCTGGAACCCTAAACTCAAAAGGTTTTGGTGTTTAGGGTTCAAGGCTCCAAATCTGTAACACCAAAGCCCAACAGGGCCCCCAAATGCCCTTAGGGTTTAGGGTTTGGGGTTTGGGGTTGGAGGTCCTATTTATGGGTACTTGGGCTTTATAATCCGAATGCGCGCGCGTTTAATGCTAGATCTGAGACCCTAACCCCTAAAACTCCAACCCCAAACCCGAATCCCCAGACTGTAAACCCTAAACCCCTAAACCCTAAACCCCTAAACCCTAAACCCCTAAACTCCGAAGCCCTAAACCCTAAACCCTAAACCCCAAACCCCTAAACCCTAAACCCCATCCCCATACGGCTGCACCTCCAACAGCTCCGGCTTCAAGACCACATTACCGGCCTCAAGAATGTTTTTTTTGGGTTTAGGGGTTGGGGGGTTGGGGGGTTGGGGTTTAGGGTTTAGGGTTTGGGGTTTAGGGTTTAAGTGTTGAGGATTTAGGCTTTAGGATGTTGGCTTAAGGTTTAGGGTTTGGGTTGTTTGTTGGCTTTCTGCATTTAAGGGGATGTTAAGGATAAGACCTTTAGGTTGGACCCTGAGGCTTTGGGAGGGTTATGTAAGGGCCTGGCTACATGTTACCCGATTTTAACCGTGCGACCCAAAATCACCAAGTCTATTTCGGCAGTGTGGTCGGGATGCTGGTGCAAGAGACTATGGCGTTCCAATTTCTATCCTTGAAGAGGTGAAAAGGCAACCCAGTCAACTGGATCTGTTGGCGATGCAGGCAGTTTCCCTCAAAAGGGGAATAGACAAGAAGATACGGTGATTCTAGGGACCCCCCAAAAAGAGATCCACGATTTTGGAAAACCCTCCTAGTCAGGACTTCGACTGATTGTTTCAACTGCTGTGATATAGCATTTGCGAGGGCTGTGTGGGCCTGCCAGCCATTTGATAAGGGTTGAGGTTCAGGAAGTCAGTCGGCTCTTTCTGGAAACTGAAGGCACTTGGCAATGATGTAAGGTTATAGTCCCCCTGAAGTAGATAGAATATGGGGTATATGGGGATCTTAAATATACCCAAAGCCATATTCTATCTACTTAAGGGGGACTATAACATTAAGAGTGGGGTTACAGATCATGAAAAAGAGGGCACTACAGGGTTGGATGAGAAGATCATCGCAAGTTTCTACGAACTGCTCGGCTTGTATCTCAGGAGTATGCAGCCTTTGAGGATCAGGAAAAATATCGCTCAGCCATAATCCCCATAGTTCTACCAGGGAACATACAGCACCTGATAGGTAGCATGAAGTTTTTGGGGAGCAGTCTCTTGTGTGAAGCATTATTGTCTAAAAAGTCATACCCTGAGTGAAAAAAGACCCACTGTACATCCTGAGTCAAAAAGGTCCCTGGGCTCTGTCCTACCAGAGGTAGCCCATTTTCAAAACAGCTGAAAATGCCAAAAACCTTGTTGCGTAAGTATGTTGGTTAATCAATCTAGATATCCCTTTTCATCAACCCTTTCACACCTCTCAGGCTCCATAGCTAAGCCACGAACCCTAAACCACTAGCCCCAAACCGTACACCACACCCCAAAAAACAACCCCACGAAACCCAGAAGCCCAAACCCAAATAAACAGCGCCCTGAACACCAAACCCAAAACCAGAAACCCCAACCTGTCAACCTCAAACGCATAGGCCGTAAAGCCCAAACCCCCACCCTAAACCCTGAACCCTCAAACCCAAAACCCCAAACCGCTTCAGCTGAGCAGAACGCCTTGTACACGCCATGGACGTTGCCGAAAGCAGCTGCAATGGTGAACCTTTAGCAATCAACAAGAATATAGCGCGACTTAGGAGTTGCGGTTTAAAGGGCTATAGGAATGAAGGGCATGCAGGGCTCACGGCTTAGGGTTTAATCGTACAGGTTAAGATACCGAAGTGTTATGTACAAAAGCCCATCTTCAATGCGTATATGGTATCTCTTGAACCATGTTAAGAATCTGGCTTAGGGAATTGTCCTCTTTCAGAGGGCTTTGGAATGGCTTTGGAAGCCCTGGATTGTCCAGGGTTTGGGGCTTAGGGGAAGCTACGGGCCGACATGATGAAATTAAGATATCCTTTAGATTCAGTATCACATGGGGTCTTTTTCTTTAAAGTTGGTTGTGGGGGGGGGGATCACCGAAAGCTTTGACAGGTTCATGATAGCTTTCACATCTGCCATTTTCCGGACAAATGCGTAGCTTCAAGATTCTTGAGGGACTCGGGATGAAATGCTGCACCGTGACATAGCTCCAGTACTTATACCAGTAAACCCAAGCATGCAAACCCCTGCTCGCCACAAAGGGATCTGCATCCTCAAGGCAGGGTAAGTCTCATTCGGAGTGCCAGCCCTAGCACTTTCCTAGCGAGCTTTTCTTGCACTTTTTGTCCTCCTGGGAAGGTTTGCAGCTCAGGGTATGATTGCTCATGCAGAACTTTGCGAAAGACTTGGTGGAAAGGGAGGTTGCCTGACCTTTTTCCTGGTAGCAAGGAATGAAGGACTTGATCCCTACAGTAGCTCCTGTATACTTCCCAGTAAGATTTTCCATTGGCTCCGTCTCCTATTAACCAGCCCTAAGATATTTCTTGTGCTAGCAGCTATGCCTCAAGCACCGCGCCCTGAGCACTGAATTCTAAACATCTATAGCCCCAAGTGGGATTGGCTGCAGGGCTTCGGGTTTGGGGTCCGAAGTTGTAGCAGACTTAACTTTTAGGTAAGCTTCTGAAAACAGGACGGTCCCGCTTAACCACACAACCCAACCTCAAACAGCGCTTCTCACTGAGCCAGCCCTTCTCATTGTACCGCGCGCAGAACAAGCATGACTATAACTTTGAGAAACTCTCACATGCAGGTTTTCTGAACTGAGCGACTCATTCAACACCTAAGGAGACCCAAACTTCTCAGAAATCTCAGTACTGCACATAGAACGGGTTATAACGGGGTTCTATTGGGGCTATATAGAAATAATGGAAAAGAAAGGGAAGCTACTATACTGGGTTTTATAGGGGTTAACGCATTTATACCTAAGTACGGAAAGTGCTGGGAAATCATTTCCTGATGTCATGCGCGATTTACAAGATGAACAGCAGGCTTCCTAGTGCTGAAGGGCAAGCAGGGCACGTATCACCGCAACATTCTCACTGAGGGTTAGTAAGGAAGAAGAGAATATGTGATCTGGGGATTATGTAGGGATTATATTCCCTTATGCCCTGCGAACCGAGTAAGTCATGATAACTAGTAACTCCTACTAACTCGGCTTATGACCCGCTGAACTGCTTTACGCAGGCTCCCCGCGTAACAAGTACAGTAGGGCTATCACCCCACTTGCATGTAAGACAGGCCGTGATACCCTGACCCTAAACCCTAAACCCTAAACCCTAAACCAAGCGGCATGGGCGAGATGGGGTTCAGGCCCTTGTAGACGGCGAACCTGGGAATGTCATGGGTTCTGCATGGGAACCTACACTCCCCCAAACTAACATGGAAACCCATATAGCCCCCCTTTTAGAGGGACTGTAGTCTTTATAGGCCCCTTTTTGGGTTTCCATGTTAGTTTCCGGGAGTGGAGTACCTAGTAAGTATGAGGCCATGCATAGAAAGATGCATGACGGCATGAACAACACATATTCAAATGCGTCTGTTGTGCGGACGTTCATCAAACTGGGTTGCTGCTAATGAAGTCAACTTTAGTTACTAAAATGAGGAAACCAGGTTGTTTACGATATACCCATAAGATGCTAACTTAATTCAAGTTCCTGCACGGCAACCCAGCGAAAACTTTGGTTGGAATGACCGTTCAGGTGTTCATGCTTTGAGCCGCACTAAACTGGGTGCGGCAAGCACATATCAACAAACAACGGCAACTGAAGAAGGTCCTTATAAGAATCCTATATATAACTATAATCCCTATGTATCCTCATAAAATCATCCTTAGATTCCCCCTATTTATACCCTGTAATCCCTATATAACCCTATTGAAAAGGTCCAGGAACACATCCTGCGGCGTGGAGTACAACTTCTCCTCGGCAAGAACCCCGGGCAAAGCGTTGCAACTACAATCTTTGGGGAACTTGGAACCATAACAACAATCATAATTCTTGCTGTTCCTTAGGATTATAATAAGCAAAAAGTAAAGATTATTTCCAAGTACCCCTAAGCAATCCTGTGACATGCGTCAAAGACCTACGACACAACAATCCACGGTCTCCGAACAAACGTCCGTGAGCAATACAGTGCTTTAGGCAAGATAACTTCACCTCCCACAATTTCTAGGGTTTAGGGTTTGAAGCTTGCCCCTCATTGCATACAGCAACTCTTACCCAAAGGGTCCAAGTAAACACATAGTAGGGCTTTAGGGCAACAAAAGCCCCAATATTTGGATACTTGGACCAGTAGAGATAAGCTCTCTGAGATGCCGAAATCCTAAACCCTAAACCCTACTAGGAGTGTTGACGTTTGCACAACGTGCTCCAGGAACGGCCATTTCTTGGGTCTACGAATGCCTCTCAGAGTTGGAATTAAGGGTTCGTTGAGGTTATTTAGTGATTAGTTAGGATTATTGAGGGGTTATCTAGGAGGTATTCAAGGTTATTTTGGTGTTATTTAGCGGTTATTTAAGGGTTATTTCCGGGGTTATTCAGGGGTTCTTTAGGGTAGTCCGGCCAAATTCCTGAAGGGCGGACCTGGTCGGGTAGTATAGGGGGTGGTAGGGAAACCCATGATCTTACATAAGCCGTAAAGTAGATCCTGGCCAAGTGTGATAACGAATCCTACTTCGGAGAAACCTTGCACACGAATGCCCTTATGTCGTCCAGCCTATAAATCACATCCTTGCATCCTCTGGACAGTCCTCATAACCGTTTGACATACATGTAAAGAGTTTTGCTCCCCGTTGTGGTCCTTTGCGGCGCCGCTGTTGTCCACGCCATCTTCAACGCCACCGGTGATACCAATTTCCATCTCCTGAAAGGTTGAAAAAGTCGGAGTTTCCAAAACCCAGGGTTTTTTGGAAATGGAGGCGCCTTGCCCAAGGAAGCTAAGTATTTTGCAGAGCCTTTTCGGTTGTCTCTTCTGCAAACTACCATGTCAGGAAAGGTGCACTGCCAGAGTTGCATGGTCTGCCTCCCCACTTCTTCACAGTTGATTGGCAATCTCTGCAAAGAACGTGGCAAGCTCCTACCCTGCAGCCAAAAAGCATGTGGAACAGAACACCATTATTTTTGGGGCAATCAGCAGAAGCTTCATGGAATACCGACCTTCTGAACTCCTTGTACACTCCCCCAAACTAACATGGAAACCCATATAGTCCCCTTTTAGAAGGACTGTAGTCTTTATGGGGCCCTTTTTGGGTTTC